CAGTTGCTCTTCTTAGATTGTACAAAATTACTTGCTTGTTTAGTTTTCTTGCTCCCTGTGAGGGGGATTCTGTCATTACTTCGGCAGTCCATATTATCGTGACTTAGCTGTGCTGTAATGTTGGGATTTCCAACAGCCTCTTGAAATAATGCAGAGACTAAGATGCTGACATTTTTTGCTTCCACTTTGTTTTACCTTTTTATGAATTAATAATTATTTTTGTAAGAGCTGTATAAGGGAGACATTGCCTTGTGACTGTGAGTAATATATAACTGTTAACTGAGCAAAAGATCACATTTCCCGCCAGTAGCCAACTTTTGTTTTTCTGTTTTTCCATCTTTCTCCTAATACTATAAAATTATAGTTAAGTTGCTCTCATGGCTTCAGTTGAAAGATCATGTAAATGTGACTTGTCTGTGTGTGATAGCCCTTCTCTTATCTGTTGCAGAGTAACTGGAGCGTAGCCTCACCGTGAGTGTGAGAGAGGTTATAGCTCTCACAGTTCAGTAGGTAATTCTTGGATTTTGTCATGGATGTTGCCAGTAGGAGAATTACTTGCATTAAATGATGTAGTCCACTGCTTTAACAGAATGTAAATTAGAGAAATAAAATTATAATTTTTCTTACCCTTAGAGAAAAGTATTTTTTTCCAATAATACATGTTTTATCCAAACATATATACATTTATGAACTAGAATCAAGAATTAGTCTGTTCATTTTTGCAGGATTTTTAAACTGAAGAACAAATACAAAAGAAAACAAACAGAATTTTATGTCTTTAGTAATAACAGTTTTAATAGTAAAAATGCTTCTTTAAGGTCCCTCCCAGCCCAAACCATTCTGATTCTTTGTGACTTCATGGTACTTTGGACAGGAATGTGTGTCCGCTTCTCTTTTCTGTAGTAGATTTAATAAACCATGTAGTATTTTTTATTTTATATAATTATGGAAAATAGTTTTTTGTATCAATGTACGCTTAATTACTGAGAAGTTACTGAGCTGGCAAAAAGAAACATGTTCATATTGGAAGGATTCAGTGGTTTGTAACTAGTCAGGTCAGTTGTGATAAAGAAAGCCACAACTACTACCATCAGTGATCTTAACACTTTTCCCATTTTTTCCCCATGATTAAAGGAGAGGGGGCAAAATCCTAATGTTGCTCTTGTCCTCATGCATGAGCTAGTTTAAAAATACTTGCAGTTCTTTTAGGGTCATGAATTATCTTTCAACATGTGCAGTCTGCCTTCTGGCCAGTGTGACTGGTACCAAGACACTGTAACAATACAGTATTAGTATGGAGTCCTTACATGTGGTTGCTTTCAGTCAAAATGGGGTGGGAGGGCAGTTAATATTTTCTTTTTTTTTTTAACTCTCTTTCTAAACAGCTGTATAAAAAAAAGTTTTGCAAGTTTAATCTTAATAATCTAAACCCAAAAAAGCAGACATGCTCTGTCATAAAATAACTATTAGTGACTAGTTTGTATCCTATAAATCTAACTTGAGTTGATAATATGGTCCATTACCAGCTAACTGCACAGAGTATTTTTCATTTTACACTCTTCAGTTACTTTTTAGTGAAGTGTTAAAAAATATGAAGCTTTTCTCCTCTCTAAAATTGCACGCTGTCTGTCTGTTATTAGGGAGATAACAGCTCTTATAAATGTTTCAGTAAGCGTTAAGTAGACAGTTATGTGCACTCTCATTCCACGCTTATTTGCTTACTGTAATAAACTGATAAAATATGTGTGGTTTGTCTCTGTGTATCTGCAGGCATCACGAGTCACATAGATTTCCTTTAGAAATAATGTTGTGTCTGCAGAATTGATTGGTTATTTTCATAAACCATCCAAAGGTACACAAACGACTTCTATTATTTAAACATATGCTATGTAAGATTTGTAGGAGATTATCTCCTGGTTAGTAGATGCTTCTTGTTCTGTTAACTCTGTGTGGTTTTATTTTAACCCCAGAGTGATTGCAGGTACCTGCCCCATGGGTTCTGTCATAACTGCATTAAAAATATTAGAATTAAAACAAAGAACTGTTTACCAGACTGATGTAACTGTTAAATACACCGCATTACAGTCACATCAGCCTTTGTCAACTCAAAATCCTTGCTAGCAAGTAGAGGCTTTGAAAATTCCAATTTTCCAGAATTAAATTGCTTTGTTCAACATACATATGTTTTATTTATTTCTAGTACTGCCACATTAAGTGCAAGTGAAAATTAATGTTCTGTACAAAGAAAGATGACTTAAATATAATGTCATTACTCTGAGTGTCCTTTGCATTTTTGCTGCTATGTATAGTATGATGTTGAAAATTAAAGTGAATGGGCTCACTAGCTTTTTATTACTGAAACAGGAAGTAATGCTGAAGAGGGCATAGGCATAGATTAAAGCCTCTAAAAATCAAGGAAAGGATTCAGTAAAACTTGAATCAGTGTTACAATTTAAGAATAGTGAGGTTTTTTTCTCTATGTGTATGCATTTTAGATTAGCTCATCCTGGGTGCCATCATGGAGCACATGGAACACTACCATGTCGTAGGGGCAGGCACAACATAGGAAAAGGCACACTACATTTCAGAAGGCTAATATTCCATTTATTACAACAGCATGCTGTCTTTTATACACTCTACAAAGTTTCCACTTTTTTCATTGGCTACAATAGATCAACATAACATTGATTGGTGCAAAGCCACCTGCGCCTCTGTTTTCCACAAAACTTCTCTAAAAATACTTTCCCAGCTCAAGTTTTCTTCTTGCTTATCTTTTTCTTCTTCTTCTTTTCTTGATCTCCAGGCCAACGACCTTAGTCAAAGAATACTTCTCAAAACAAACCTCATTCATTAACCCTATCTTGCCCACAGACCAGCTGTGGCTCCTACTATACAGCCAGGGGATCTGGCCCAGCCAGCACAGGTTTGTAAAGGGCAAAGATCCAAAAAGGCTGAGACCAATGGTGTGAGATTCAACAAGACGCGGTGCTGGCTCCTGCCCTTGGGTCACAGCAACCCCAGGCAGTGCCACAGGCTGGGACAGAGTGGCTGGAAAGGACCTGGGGGTGCTGGTGACATTGACTGAACATGAGCCAGGGTGTGCCCAGGTGGCCAAGAAGGCCAATGGCATCTGGGCTGGATCAGCAATAGTGTGGCCAGCAGGAGAAGGGCAGGGATTGTCCCCCTGTGCTGGGCACTGGTAAGGCTGCACCTCAAATCCTGTGTCCAGTTTTGGGCTCTTCACTACAGGAAGGTCATTCTGGTGTTGGAGTGAGTCCAGAGAAGAGCAGTGGAGCTGGGGTGGGGTCTGGAGCACAAGACCAGTAAGGAAAAGCTGAGGGAGCTGGGGGTGTTTATCCTAGAGAAAAGGAAGTTCAGGAGGGACCTTATCACTCTCTACAGCTGCTTGAGAGTGTAGCCAGGTGGCCTCTTCTCCCAGGTAAATGATAGAACAAGAGGAAATGGCCTCCAGTTGTGCCAGGGGAGGTTTAAGTTGGGTGTTAGGAAAAAATTCCTTCACTGAAAGAATTATCAGGTGTTGGAATGGACTGGCCAGGGAAGGCTCACCATTCTTGAGAGTCTTCAGAAAGCATTTGAGTGTGACATGTAGGAACATGGTTTACTGAAGATGGAAGGACTGGGTAAACAGACACAGCCATTAGAGATTGGACACAGAACTTAGACATCTTTTCCAATCTCAATGGATCAATGATTCTGAAGAATCTACATAATGGACTTCTGACTACTTTTTATATTTTCATTCCTGTTAATAAATATTATTAATAAAGCCAGCCATAAGTGAACACAAAGAAGCTAGTGTACTTCAAAATACTTGTATTAACATGAATTAAACATATATCCTAAACCTGTTAATGTAAAATGGGAGAACCATTTCATGAAGTAAGTATTCCATTACGCAACATGCTAATTTGAGTGCTAATAACCTCTTACCGTTATTGTCTCTTTCTGTGTACCAATAAGATTTTCAAAGCATGTCCTTTATTACTTCTTGACAACTGAGGGGGTTTTTTTTGAGAGTTTAATTGTCAGTTATTTCTAGAAAATTAAGCAGATTATTAATCTGTGAAAGTTTGTGACTTACTATTCAAAGATGTTTTGAATTTTCAGTAACTGAGAAGGTCCATAAAAATTATATCTTTTCCATTCATTTTGTGTTAACTGTAAGTCTGGTCATGTGATGTCACAGATCATTATTTTATAAATATAATTTAAAGTAACCCTGATCTTTCCTTAAGACTTGTGTAAAGATTTCAAATTCTCTTGTCTGCATATTTCTGTATAAGCCTTACTTTTGTATATTTGAGCTCATGATTTTCTTGTCAGCAATATCTGTGAATTTGTTTGCACGTTAAATGTCTCTTTTCATGCTTCTTATGCAGGATAGAATGGACTGAAACATCCTTGGGATTTTTCTTATTGCTTGTAGTAGCAAGACTATTTAAAAAGTGTCAGCATCCATCTGTTCTATATAACTATGTTTTTACTATTTCACCAGTGAAATTGTGTTAGACAACATTTTTTGTGTTTTTAACAAGAGAAACAGAAGACAATTTCTCACTATACTTTCACCTTACATAATGAGCTTGGGAATGCCCTTGAATTCTGATGCATAGAATGTTTCTTGTTGGAAAAAACATAACTAATTAACTGTAACTCTTAAAAAATGTGATAATTTGATAGCTAACTGTAAAGCTAAAAGTTTGAAAACAGATTTATAGTGGAAAGTGAGACGGGTACAACAACGGTCTTTTCAGCACCGGAAATGTTTTTATCTCTATATTATCTGTAAATTATTTGTTATTTGGTATCTATTACTGCACTTTGCATATGCATTTCAATATGTCCTTACATATTTCTGTTTCTGGTTCAGTAAAATTCCAACCCCAAAGTAGGTGTTCTAAATGAGTAAAAAATGCAATATTCAATTTTTACTGTTCTTGACTTACAGCATGTGCCAACTAGTGTGTTATACTTAACAGGTCACTACGCAGGTCTCTGTGCCAACAAAAACACATGAGCTGCTCCATCGAATGAGTGGGAAAGGATTAGCAGCTCATTATCACTTCTCCAGACAGCCAGGCATTCTTGGCGATCATATGGTACCTGTGCAAGTGACAGTAACAAACACAACTGATCAGAAGATAGAGAATATTCACATTGGCGAGAAGAAATTACCTCCAGGCATGAGGATGCACGAGTTTAATCCAATAGGTAACCATAACCTACGTTAAAAAAACCAGACTCCTAATCTTCAGAAAAATTTCAAATACAAGTGTTTTTGCATAGTTCCATGCATACTCACATATGTGTGTGTGGTGGGTGGGGGTAGATATACATACACACACACTCAACAGCTATCCACTTGTTGGGACAAAATCTTTCTGCATCCCTACAAACTTTGATTCTTTTACAGTCTTCTTTTAGATGGGCTATTGTGGGCTTCTATTAGGAATGAGGTTTTGATTTTTATATTCACTATTATTTTCTTATGAAGCTTTAAATAAATCTGTAAATGTATAATTTTTATTGGTGACTCAGAGCATAGTCATTTTTTCATTGTAAGCTTATGGCAGTAGAGTGGAAGTGTATGTTTTAGTTTTGCTTCTGTATACCATAGTTCCACAAAGTGTCTGCTTAGACTAGATAAAAATTAATGTGTAGTCAGACCTGACCTAAATTGTTTTACTTTCTACTTTATAATCAGAAAGATTTTTTGCTAAATTTCTGTGGAAAAGCGTATAAAACTTGAGAAAGAACACAGATCACAGCAAGTTTTTTTCAAACGTAATACCTATGCACGCAACCTGTTTTCTTTTCTCAACAGTTCTTTATTTTAGGACATTGTGGTATAGTCAGAAGGAAAGGAAGTGTCTAAGTCTCATAATACAAATTCTTCTGCTTCAGTGAGCTACATTATTATGTGAATATGTATCATGATAAAAGAATATAGGAGCATGTTCTTAAAGCACAACAGTAAACTAAAGAGTATTGTTTGTCTTAGTTTGTATTAAATGGCTCTAAACTATTGAAATATTTTTTTTAGCATAGAAAAGATGATACAGATTTACACCAAATACCTACAAAAGCAATTTTCCAGTGCTTTAGTTTATTTCAGAGTTAAAATTAATAATAATAACTGTTTGCATCTTGGTAATGATACATACTTGATCAAGGCAGTTAGTTTTAGAACCCTATTAATAGTTTTTATTTTTTAAGTGAACGTTTTACTGCTTATTCTTCAAAATAAGTCCAGGTCAGAATTGAGATGTCAAGTTAGTTTTGCCCGTGAGCTTTATTTTATCTCCCTGCCTGTAAACCTTTGAAGAAATAAAGCACAAAGGCTTACAGTAGAAATATTAAAAATCAGATCAGGAGATGCTATACCCACAAAAACAGTCATTTAGCAGTAGCATTCATTTGTCTTGCATAAAAACATGGGGGAAAAAAAAGTGGAATTAATAAATTATCCACTTCAGGTTCCTTGAGTTCCACCAAATAATCCTACCCTTCAAAGTATTTATTTCCCCAAGAAAGACATTGTGGTGTCTGTCCTGCAAAGCTGTTGGTTTCTTCTGCAGAAAATAAGCTATTAATCATCTGTGGTTCTTCCAAAAATGTTATTTCTTTTGCTTGAATGGAATTGTCTGTATTCTTGTCATTTTATGTAGAACTAAGCCTATACACCCAGTTCTTACTACATTTTGTGTTTCCAACTTTTGGAAAAACACATCCTGTAATTTACCCAGCAGACCCAGCGGAAGAAGTGTCAGTGTAGACAGGTATTCCTGCTGGAGGATAAGTCTAGTTTTGCCTCAGTCACTTAATTGTCCTGATTCATCCAGTAGAAATGATTCAAATTATTTCACCCAAGTCCCTGTGCACAACATTTTCTTGTTCCTAAATGTGTTTGAAACTCCCTTTGAAAACATTAAGCTCAAAGACTTTGAAGTTGATTCTGAATTTGAGCTGGAGCCTGTAATCTTTCAATTCTTTAAGCAGACTCCTTGGAATACTTCGTTTTTTATTCACTTACTAGTGTTAGTTTAGACTTTAGTCAGCAGCATTAACTTCATCTTTTCTGTATTTTTACAAACTTAATCTTGAAATAGTTATATTTCGTTACATTTTGTCATGGAACAGCTTTCTACTTTCAGTTCCTGAAAAGTATCAGGTACAATATGAATAATCTGGAAATCAGATGTTGTAATCTTGAGAAGACAGTCTGCTTCAGTGCTTGTTTTTTACTTATGTAAAGAAAGAGCTTACAAGGAAAAGCCTTTAACGAAAGCTTTATCTCTACAACGTTAGGGAAATAGTGTAGTGATTTAGCCAAGAATCTGAGAATGAGTATGTCTCCTGATACCTTCACGCCTGGAGTGTCTCGGTCCACACTGCTTGTATAGCACAAAGTGATCTTCCGTTTAGTGTTCATAATCTTTCTTCTTTCAACTAATGCAAGTTGAATATTGAGACACAAGTAAACCCACAGTAATTATGAAATTGTTTAAGCTTATTTTCCGTTACGGTGTGTATTAATGTAGATTTTATTTGTTGTGTTTTGCTATTTACTAACTAAATCTGCAAACCAGTGTTACTGAAAATGAAATCTCAGTGCTGGATCTGTGCACAATTAAAAGGATGTCACTTCGATATATTTTTTTTCTGTAAATAATTTTCCTTTCCTTGCTTTTCTAATACAAGGCCTGATTTTGTTGAGGGGGCTCTAAGACTGAAATGGCAACATTTCATGTGCGCATTGACTGTGTGAGAGGGGCAATCCAGGATGCTTAAATGTGCAAGTGTGACATTTGGGTGATAACTACTTGTAATAAAATTACAGCTATTGGATTTTTTCTTGCAGACCTTTTTGGGTGTTTTAATTCTGTGAAGTTTGGGGGGTTGAATTTTCAGATGCCTTGCATGTGTGTTTTACTTGTTAAAAATCTCTTCATGCAGAGTGCCTTGAACCAGGAGGATCCCTTACTGCTACAATGGGTATTGACTTCTGTGATTCTACCCAGACAGCCAGTTTCCAGTTATGGTAAGTTCTTGGGAGGGGAAGAGTAATTTTTTGTTCCTGGAAGGTAAGAGTTCATTGGAAATCTACTTAGTGGTATCACACTTGCTGTTTTATTAAATATTCAAAGAATTGAACAAAATTTGCAACATGATATATATCCAAAATATTTTAAGAGAAACAACACATTCTTAGTGTTCAGTTTTACTTTTAGAAGCTTTACTTTTTTGTCCCACTCTTCTTGGGATTCTTCTTATTAACACCATCTTGAAAGGAGCAATCATGTCTGACTATTCTGCTGTAGTGTTTTGTGTGTGTTCTTCCTAGTAAAAAAGGGCACAAAAAAAATCAAAATGGTACATAGGGTGAGCAGTTTTACTGCCCAAAGTCTTGATTATGGCTGCTGTGGTCGCTATAATGTGACTGCCTGAAAACCACCCCAAAATTTGGCCGCCAAATAAATTTATTCCTCATGCAGTAGATTCTTTTTAATCGATATTGAGAATGAAATCAAGTAACTGCTGGCCAACTAAATCTTGTCTAATCTGCCTGATTTACATTTTTTGTACTCATTTTTGGGGCATGTGTGGTCCTTTTTCTGCATCCTAGGCTATCAGGGAATTCATTTACCCAGTGAGAATTCTGTTACAAACTAGTATTTGAAACCAAGGTATTTTGCAGTAGCAATGTCCCGCATTGGGAAAGAATGGATGGGAGAAAACTCGACACCTTCTTTTAGGAGCTTTTCAGGTTTATATAGTCTTTTAAACTATGCAAAAGCACTACACAGTTCTGTATGATTTTCTATGTCTTTTACATATTTTGAAATAATGGATTTTTTAATCTGTTTTGTTGCAAAAAGCACAGATTTCAATATTCAGCACAAAAATAGTTATATTGAATAGACATTCACATTGCTGCATTTCAGTTTAAGGGAAGCCCTTTGTGAAAGTTCTGTACTTCTTCCTTTAGAAAATTTCTGTAGCAATTTTAGTATACTGCTACTAAGCACAGCTTGTTCAACTGATAGGTTATTGAAGACAGCATGAAAATCCTAATAATAGAGATGTACCCAAGTAAGTCCTAAAAGTACCACTACTAAAATAACATTTCTTGTTCTAGGGGCAAGGAGGTTTTACTATTGGATTTTTTTCTTTACATTTCTCAAACTTTTCCCTGTGCAATGGATGCTCCTGCATTGTCAGTTTACATATATTTGTACTCCCAGCAAAATGTCTGCAGCATGTAGTTTATGCACGTCACGTTGCTACAGTGGTTTGTATGCTGTTTGCTGAAATTTGGAAACAGCTTTGAACTGTTGCCTGGTGTTTGTTTGGGGAAGAGGTTTCCTTGTAGGCAGTGCAATTTCAAAATTCCTTCAAAATTAGAGACTCTGACTCTCTTTAAATATATTTTGAGTTTTATAAAATAGTATATTCTCAGTTTATCAAGCAGAAATACTATTTTTTAAATAAAGCAGATATTTTTCTTTCAAGTATGTATTTTCAGTCGACCAATGATTTCATTTTTAACTTATACCATTTATTGCTAAGAATCTTAGCAGTGATGGGGATAAGCAATGTGGCATAACACATTGATTTTATGCAGATCATCACCTTTATGTTTTGGGAGGTCTGCTGTATTAGTGATATATAAAAACTGATTACTTTCTCTAACATTGCCTAGTAATTGTTTATTATTTTCCTATTAGACAAACAAGACAGATCAATATTCCTGAACACCAACCAGACTATGAGTAACATCACTGTAAATAGATTTGCCTCAGACCTCAGTGGTGTATTCATTTTAATGATTTAGACAATGTGAGTCCAATGACAAAGCTCTCAAGCTAAGTTTAAAATTAAATTAAGAATAGGAATTGCTTACTTTGTTCCTTTGCTAATTGACAGGCCTTGTTTCTTCATTGTTAGTTCCTAGAAAATAGTATAAAAATAGATTAAATGTTATTTGCATTAAATGTGCTGTTTTACACTGAAAAATTATTTTGTTCAAAAGCTTACTGATCTTCAGTATCACTGAAGAAATCATGCAGTGTGATGGGAGCAATGTCTCAAAGAACTCAGCTGCAGGCTCTGCAACTTACCATATTTTTTTAAAACCTTTTATCCAAAAGAAGGAAAGACTTCTAGAAGTTTGTCAAAACGTAGTTGAAATAATGTACACACAGAGGTGTCTGTATTCTCATATTCTTATTAACATATCTCTGTGAAAGATGTTGTGAGTTATTTTGTATTTTTGCTAGAAGCAGTAAAGTGTTCCTGATCATAAGAATTTTCTTTACATAGTTCAAAGAGGAGCACTTTATCTTGCATCAAATGTAATTGATCCTGAAGCAGTGTAATCACAATTACTCACTTTCTTAATTGGCCTGCCCAAAATCAGAAAATGGAAACCGATCGCCAGTGTTTAAATCAATAGCTTTGTAGTAAAGCTTGTGGGGGTAGGGACATAGTGGTAATGGGTAGATCAATTGGTCTTAGATGCCAATCATGGACTGTGTGTTTTGCATAGCAAACACTAGCCTTCTGCTGAGGGATGTGCTGTTGTACTAGTGGTTCGATAAGTACAAACTCTATAAAGAAAATAACTAACATGAGTCATAAAATATTTAGATCTTTTTCTGAATTGTTGTACAAGTCAAGGACAATGAAGGAAAAACTGCAATAGAGGGGTTTGAGGGAATGAGCTTGGAAAGACCTCCCGCTCAAATACTATTTCTGGTAAGCAAACCTTACCAAGATCACACATCTAATTAAAGTGGGGTAAAACTTACCTGAAAACTGTACCTAATGCATTTATTTAGAATGTGTATTAGGATGTTTACAGCATGTACTTGTAAGGAGAACGTCTCTTCATTGTTGTTTTTCTTGTGCCACCTCCTTGCAGAGGCAGCTATTTCAGCCACACTGGTGTTCTGCATGGTAATGCCTCTCAAGCAGAAAGTTAAAGAGGAATAAATGAAGGAACTTGGCCTTTTAAAAGATTTCTTGGATGTTACTCTCTGTTTTTGTGTTACTTTGTTCTCATTTTGCAATCAGGATTTACACAGGTTAGAAGTTTAAAGCAATGTGTTATTGGCTAACTCACATGCGAGGTAGGTTGCTAGCTTGTTGAATTCTAGTTAAATTTTAGTATATTCGCCATCCAAGTAGGAGACCTGAGCCTTATCTAAGCAGGTAGGCATCAGTTGAGCAGAGAAAATGTTGGAATGGATACTTGATATAACAGGCTGTCTGCAATACTGCACTGACTGCAGAACTACTTTTTTTTTCCCCACATCAGATCTTAAAGATTTCCACATCAGTGTGTTTTTTCTTGAATCCTTGAGCTCCTAGTGTTCACTATTTCAACAATCCTACCATTTGTGTTATCTTTATTGTCTTGCATGTCTCTACTTTTCAAGTATTCTTAAGTCTTTCTCTCAGCTTACTAGTTTTTTGCGATGTCTGAGCAAAGATTTTTGAGCTTTGCCATGTCAGAATTTTGGCCATGGATCCTTGGAATGGAAAGATTTAATCCCTTGAGATGGAATACAAGGAAGGTTATAGAGTCAGAGAGTTACAACATATACATGCCCTTACTCTGTTTTTTGTGTATGTATTTAACGTTATGAATTCCTGTCTGTGTTTGTGTAACTCAGTAGGCAAATCTCCACTTTCTTATAGGTATGATGAATAACTAAAGGTGAAGGGGAGATGTCCTTTTTACAATATTGAAAGCTGGAGAAGAAAGCTTGTCTTTATCTTTTCTTTCTTCTCATCCTCTCTTTCCAAATTATCTTAGTTGTTGCCAAAACCATGAAAGAACCACAGCTTTAAAGAAAAAAATAATTTAGGGAGAATCTTTTCTTTTTTCTGTTCTTTTGAAAAGTACACGGGAAGTTGTTTAGCTTTCTTTGAAATTGTTTGGTGTAGGGGAGATGTCCATGCCATGCATCTCTCTCTCTAGTTTTGGTTTCACATCTCTCTCCCTAGTTTTCTCAAGCTTTAAGTGTAAAGAACACAAGCAGAGCTCCCAAGAAGAAAGAGAAATTGAATGAAAGCAATAGCTTCTGTGCCTTTCATTCTTTTTCAGAATAATTAGGTAATTGGAAAATAGTGTGACATAACAAGTTTTTAACTAGTTACCTTATGTTGGCATTTCTTAATGTCCCAGTGTCATCAGAAGGACCCTCTCCTTTGGATGAGGAGAGTACATACTCTTCTCTACAGTTGTTTTGCTGATAGAAAAGGAAGCTGTCTGTTCATTTTATCTATCCTGTACTATATAAATAAAACATTTTGCTGATTAGTCCAGAAGAGTTTGGTGTAGCATAAAGAATCTAGCTATTTCTTAAACAAAGTAAATTCTGTGAATAAGATTTTAAAACTTTGTTCAGTCTGTTCTCTGCAGGTTCCTTCTTATTGTAGAAGGTTTTGCTCTGAATTTTATTTTCAAAGGAAGAGATTTTTGCAGCATGTAATTCACTTACTTCTTTGGTGTTGATGTCGAGATCTTCCCAAGCAGAACTTCTACCTGCAAAGCAGAGTAAATGAAGAGGGTTGGTTGGGTAGCAATCGGTATTTCTGTTGAGTGCAAGCATGCGTTCAGGTGTAGATGGTTTGCACAAAAGCATCTGATTAAAATTATGTGGTGGAATAGGTTATGGAATATATTAAAAGCTAATGTTAGAGATGTAGGGCTGTCTTCACATCACGGTCACTTGTGTTTTCACTTTTTTCTTGCTGTTTCCTTCCCTAGTGCTTTGTCAGCAGATCACCAAGTTGCTTATAAATGTAAGACAAGTAGTCTGGTACTCTTCTCTTTATTTCATTATTCTAAAGTAGTCAGTTGGCCCTATTCCAGAACACAATTATGCCAAGATAAATAACTGACCTGGAAGAACACAAGGCTGGACATGAACAACTGCTTTCAGTTGTTCTATCCCTTTGGCCTTTTTGTCTCATAAATGCAGGATGCAATCCTTTCCTTTCTTCAGCAAGACTGTGAATCAAGTCTCTTATACTTCTCAATTCCATGTTTTGTTTTGCAGGAACTTAATTCTCTCTTAGTGTTCCTCTTCCTCTTACGTTATTTTTTTTAACATTTGTGGAGATTTTTGTGAATACAAGACAAAAATGGTAAACTGGTTTGAGATAGATATGTTCTGGGACAAGCTGCTGCTGGGAGTGAAATAAAAAAGGATAGTATAAAGAGCAAGAAGAATATTCCCAGTCTGATTAGAATATTAATTTATTAAAAGCCTTGGGAGTTAAGACTTTAACCACTGCTATTTTAAGAGAACTCATTCACAAATGTTAGCATTATTTTCTTCTGTTTCAAAGATTTTGCATCACTTTTCTCAAGTCTTTTGTTATGGTAGAGAACTTCTTTACCAGGAACCCTTCAGAGACAATTCTTTAAAAAAAAAAACAAAAAAAACCCAATCAAACTGAGAGAAGAGATAGGGAATAGCCAAGGGTTTCAAATGTCCGGTGCTAGCTGCTCCCACTCCACCTGCAGACATCGACAGAACTCTAAACTGTGAGTGTTCTGAAGGGTTAAATGTTAGGCTTGCATTGTCGTTTACTGTGGAGCTAGTTAAGTCTCCCTTTGTTCCTTTGGGAGCATTATTGTCTCTCATTTGTTCATCTTTATGTGTGCATCAGAAGATAAATTAATATGATACTTGAAATTGAACCATGAAAGTGATGTAAGTCTTTTAAAAATATAATATGTACTTTTAAGGGGTAAGAGTAATGATGTCTAATATTATTTGCCAGTAAGTTATAAATTAAATACATAACAGATTTTGCAAGCTAGTGTTAGCAAGGTACTGTTGTCAGACATCCCCAATTGTTTGACCCTTTTAGAGATGCCCTCTAAGAACTTCTCATTGAGTATTCATGTTCCTCTAAGGCTGTACCTTAGCAGCTGCACCTGCTAATACCAGAAAATGCAGTCTTTAATTTTTGAAATCAAAAAACATATTCTGTTAGCCTGAGAAACTTTGGGTATTTTTTTCAGTAAGATTCTTCACCTTGCTCTTCCAGGAAAGTTAAAACAATACTGCCTGAGTGATGCTTCAGTGCAACTTGAACCACTTGGCAGATTTAAAAAAATTAATGTAATTTTTTGTTTAAGCATCCTTTATATTAATGATAGTCTTGAAAATATAAATGAATAAGTTAAATAAACTGAAATATGGTTGACTTGGTATTGGGGAAAGTTAAGTAGTTGTATTCCAAGCCTCAATTTTATTCTGGAACTTCTCCATTAGGTTTCTGATAAAATCTCTATCTTTGGAGATTCTCAGAGCTCAAACAGACAAGGCCATGAGCAAAGTGAACTCAGATGACCCTTGCTTAAACAGGAGGTGGAGCCAGGTGATTTCTAATGCCCCTTCTGAATCGTGTTGTGGTTCTATGGAATTATTAAGTAATTTTTGTTAAATTAGCTATTATGAGCTCTCTAATATAAAGATGTAATAAAAGAGATGCAGATCAATAAACAAGAGCTGTATATTTAATCTGTGAAGTGTCTGATAAAGAGAATCTATAAGGAAGGATGATTTTCTGGAGCTGAGAAAGAAATTTACTGAAGCACACTGGAATTAAAGTAATGCAAAGTAACCTAGATGCTGACTAAAGTGAAATTAAGAACAAAGTAGCTTTGAAGGACGACTAGCAATCAGAATTTCTGCTTGTAGGCTATGAAGAGTTCATGTTTTATCAAAGAATATATCTTAGCTATTTATTCAATAGAGGAAATGGAGGTGGAATGCTTGTTAACAGCAGAAGTGTCAAGTGGTCCTCTTAAGCAGTTATGGACATAAAATACCCAAGCTGTACTCATGCTTTTATTCCTTCTTATCGTGGAAATATTGTTATAAGCATTAAAGCAATCTAATAATTGATGTTATAAGTCAAGTTAATGTACAAATGGCATCTCTCCAGTCAATGTAGGATGTAAATCATTCTACACAAAATGGTTTATCTGTTTCATGCTGAATTATATAGAGCACGTCTAGCTTAAATATGAAACATAACATTGGTTGAACAATCAGTTGAACAGTGTCAATGAAAGTATTGTTGAAAGTGTTAGTCTTATAGTCCAAGTAGTAGGTATGAACAGCAAAAAATTAATGAGGCAGTTGATTAAAGACCCTTCCATCAGCTCTTAAGCTGATTGAGTTCTTAATCACTTTTCAAAGGAAAAATTAAAGAAAAAATACTTCTTGCTTATTTTACTGTGCACTTAATCAGGCTAGACAATCAAACAATCCCTCTTTTATTATAATAATGACTTTTATTATAATAATTACTTTAGAGATGGATGGCATTTAAAGTAGTACAGGGGAGAAAAGTAGTACAGGGGAAAAAAGTTTGAATTTGTTGGGTTTTAAAAGCAGCACTTAATAGAAGATTTTTTATAAAGGAAGTACTAGGAAGTTTGAAGGGATTGTTCTGTATGTTTACTAAATAACAGTTCTCAAAAAAATTAGCATAATTGTCTAGTTTTATTTGAACAGCCCATACTTGAGGCTGCACTCATAAGCATAATTGTAACACATCAGAAGGTAAAAAATAAGAATGTACTAGTTCCTAAGCATTTCTTTTTGAAAATAGGTAATTACAATAAGTGTTAGAATTTTGAGTAGGGGGACTGTAAAATGCTTTTCTACTTCCAGGTGGCTAGTTTTGCATCTTTAGGAGGGAGACACATATGTTTTCTATACTATTGATCTATAATGCTGTTTGCTTTCCATCAGTCTATCTTGTTCCAGAACTTTGAAGTTGCAGAGTTATAAAAAATCAGTAGCACATGTTTTAGGTTGATTTAAATAACATGGATGTTAATGGATGAAATGTATTTTCCATTCTAATGATTGTATCATTATATTTAAGTAAGATATCTGAGGCATATCACCAATCAATAGATATTGGCTATTTGGTACATCAGAAAAAAAAGGGAAAAAAAAAGAAAAACGTTCTTTTCTAAAAATTTCTCAGGCCTTAAAAGCATTAACAAAGATTCTGACTGGATTGCTAGGCAAATCCCTTATGGTACAGTTAGTCAATGAAACATAGCAGAGTGAATGTATCTTGAGTTTCTTTAGCATTGAAGAAGTCTCAGACAAAATAGTTGGAAACTTAGAGAATTAAATGGGTAAGGAGAGGAAGTTCACTGTATGATATTTATTTCTTAAGGAGAAATGTGTAACATATAATAGTATTATGCTTCTAGTGATAGTATTTTTTAACACTTCCATTAAGAAAACGGCCTCAAGTTCTGCAGTTTTCCAGTGTGCTTTTACAATAACCAATATGCTGTGTGGTTTTGTTTAAATATACCAAATAATGTAAAATTGAAGTTATAAAAAATATTTCTTCTTTACCACTGTATTTATTGTTCAGCTTGTTTGAGGGTTTTTTTTTCAGACAATATTATCCTTTTGTCTGAAATTATATCTTTTCTATGTTAAGCATCATTTCTAGGACGGCTATAGCTGATGACAGGACATGGAACAGTTCTCTCAAAGGATTTGTCAAATGCACAATAATTTGTCCTTTGCAAGCATTTAGATTGAGTGTGATGCTTTGCAGATCGTGAATAAACATTGATCCGAGTAAAAGTTACATTTTCTGAAATACAAGACCATGCCTACAACATTTGTACTGAGAGAAAGTGGATCAGCTTTACTAATGTAAGAAGGTAGACAGCTTTCAAATTAACAAGGTAGAAATCACAGAGGTAGTTCTTACACTTTTTAATGATTTCACAGAAAATTTGGAACTGATATATGTATATTAATCTATGTTGATGCACTTGGTTGATTCTCTGTAATTTCTCTTTTCTAGCACAAAGGATGATCAGTTCAATGTTAACATTCAACCCCCTGTTGGAGAACTGCTCTTGCCTGTCACTATGTCAGAGAAAGATTTTAAGAAGGAGCAAGGTGAGAAATACTTCAGCAGCTTCAGTAAATGTACTTGGATGGGAAGAGGGCTGCATGCCTTTCAATTTCCAAGCATACAGAAAGTGCTTCCAGTTGTAGGTGGTTGAGTTAGCCACTGTTAGTATTCATTCTGACAATAATAAGTAGTTTAAAAATATCTTAATAAGGATGTGCCATGATATGATGCAGTCTTTAAAGGGTCAAATCCCACCCTTAACCCTAAAACAGTCTTTCTGCTCTAAGAGTTTTGGTTTCCCATCATGAAGTGTGAATGCCTTTCCTACTAGCAGTAAAACAGAAACTTGGGATTCCAGCTCAAGGAAATGAACCATTTCTACATGAGTATTGCATCAGATTTTACTATTCTTTATTTCAATAGTAATTTTGAATACTAATAATGTATATGTTCCTCAGCTACTTTGAAGATTGTTTTAACCTTTTCACTGTCAAACACTTCATATAAAAAAAATACTCTTGTTGGAATACTGTTTTTGAACGGTGATATTTTTTTATACTTCTACATTCTACTAATACTGTGTTTTCAAAGAATGTAAGTCTCTGACACTAGTCCAGGCACAAACCTCCATAAGAGCTTTTAGTGACTTGAATATTTTATTCAAAATAATTAGACAAAATTGTGCCTAGGTTTGACCATATGTTAAATGGAATAGTCAATACTGCTGTCATTAATTCAGATAGGATTCTTGGATATTTTTAAATACAAGTGGTAACATTTTGGATGCACTCAAATGTAGTATTTACTCATCTATCTCAATGTATGGGAATTTACATGTGTATGTCTCTTCATATTGAGATGAGAATATGCCCATGGGATCCTGACTCATAGCTGTATAAGGCTCAGAAACTCAGTATATCCATCAAGCAGTCAAGAACACCAATGAGTAATGTCATGTATTATTAGTTATTGCTTTTGAAGATTTCTTGCTTTTGTGTTTTTGAATTATTAAGAAAGTAGTTAAATACTGTATAGATCATTCGCAGTTAAGGTTATGGCTGCAGTGAAAAGTTAGGATTGTGCTTTGTTTTCATAACCAATTGATACTTATTTGCTGTTCTTACCCTTTGCTGGCTAAAGCCTGCCTCTCTGCTTTATACCTGCTCAGCAAACCAAGGTGAGTGATTGAATGAGGCTGTGGTACATTTATTTTCAACTGTTCCCTTCTAAAAATTGTAGCTGAGGTTGTAGTGAAAAGAAAGCAGGTTTCTGTGCTTCTTCCCTCCCTGTTTTTATGTTTACTTGCTTTGTGATATTCTGATAGAATTTTTGTATGCTTTATCCTGACTGAGGGCTTTTTTTCCTCCTGACTGGCCATACAGAACCATGAGCACATAGAAGAAGTATACTTGGAGAATAGCTGTGGTCCTCTGTGGAGTTGTTGCCAAAATTCCTTTTTCTTCTGCCATTTTACTTCTATGGTTGTTGATTATTTGTCTGAATAAACCTGGCAGCTGTTTGCTATGTTTAATAGAGCAGAAAGGCTACTCTGAATAAAGCTATTTGAAAATTTGTTTATATGAAGTATTTGTAAATCCATGAAGGTCTCTTGGCATTTCTGTATCGCTCACTCTGTCTTCCTGAATTCATTCTTTGATGCAGGACTTTGCAGGCTGGCAAATTTACTACAGGTTTTAAAACCTTTCCTATTGCATCTTTTTTTATGGATATCAGCTGTATCAGAATATTCTTGGTAACAGAAGTCTCAATTCTACATTTTGCATTAGTATTTATTACAAAGATCTAGGAACAGGTAGCATATGAGAAGAATTACTTTGTGTTCTTGCTAAATGAAAAATCCAAATTACAATAATAAATGCAGGGCAATTTAGAAGCTGATATATATTATTCTATTTTGTGTTTAACTTCAAATTGCCTGTATTCTCCAAATGAATCTGATTTATATAACTTGTTTTCCACTTGTCATGCTTTTCCCCCCTTTTTTTTTGTTGGTTTTTGAAAATGTTTCAAGTCCTGTATCTGGAGCTGCCTGGTTTTCTTTGTGACCAAAATAGATAGGTAAAAAATATTGAAGGAATGAGGAGAACATTAGAAATGCAAGGTAACACTGGGAGAGAATGAAAATATGTATGTGTTTTAAGGATTTTTACATCTAAATTGCATGTGTAACCTAATAAGAATGCTAAAGAGAAAATAGCTGGTATTATACTGCTATGTAGAAGATAAATCATTGCTACACGTCTTTACTCAATTACACTCTGCTGTTTTGCATTGTGTGTTACATTTGTATATGTCCATTTTCTTCCTGATGGCATGAAGAGAGAGGAGCAGACAGATTATTGAATATTCATCGCTGTGAAGGTTATCTGGTGGAATGGCAGAACCTGAAAAGCTGTTTTTGTCCACATGCTGTGCATGATATGCTTAGCTTTGCTGCACCGTCTCCCCTTTCCTTCCCTCCTGAGTTCGGGAATCCTCTGGTGAAGTAGTTCCCCGGAGAAGCAGATGAGTTAGTGAGTGTTGTGATTGACAATTTGGAATGAGTGAATTAAAATGATACTGTCAAACACTACCTTTTTGCTCAAATAGTTCTTCTGATCCTTCAGACCTCAGAATTTTATACCCTATTTTACATCACATCCCCAAGAAAAGTCGAGTTGCCATGGTAGGAATACTGCATGAGTGGAATACTTACTATTGGAGCTCTGTATCCAGATTTCAACTTGTCTGTTGTTTTTAAAAATCAGTGGCAAAACTCTCCTTCCCTCAGTTCAGAATAGGACTGGTCTGCTGGCTAGCATACCTTGTTACCCATCACTGTATTTTTTCCAATATAATTTTCTTTTATTATTTAAAATATGTACGGTTATTTCATCATATCAGGTGGCTAACCCAGGCTAATTGCTTCTTTGTGCTCGGGTTAGAGTTTTCTTAGATTCTCATGCTTCAAACAATATTAAATGTGTCATGTGATTGTTATAGCTGGGTATTAATCAGAATTTTTATGATGGTGTTTTTAAAATAGGTAATTAAAACTACTTTAGGATTTTTTTCTCTCAAGAGACACGTTTTTAAATAATTTCGTCAACGTTTTTTTAGGAGTGTATACCTGAATCACATTTAAAAAAAACAAACCAACAACAAAACCCAATCTTGGTTAAGTAAACAGATAGTTTACCTAATTTTATTAGAATTATATATATAAAATTTGTTTTCCTAACAAGCAAGATGCTAATTCTTTAAATGGTTGGACATTTACTATTTTCTGGCCATTGACTACCCCAAGCAATCATATTTGATGCTCCTTAATTAGAGTACCCTTTTTTATTTCCAGGTTCTTTTCCACCTCAGCAATCGAGACAATACATTTGCTTACCACGCTGCTCTCCTAAGTGTTCTTTTGCATGTAAATTAATCTTGATTCAGTTTACACTGTCATGCTGAGTGGTACAAATTGCCTATAACAATAAAACAGCATGAGTTAAAAATAAAGGGGGGTGAAAAAGCAGATTGAATGTGTGCCTTACTTGATAGGATGTTACTTTGCTTTATGCCAATACATTAGTCGACGATAATGAATCTTCTGTTCTGAAAAGCATGGTTTAGTTGATTTTTTTAATTTTACTTCAATGGAGCAGTACCTTGTCTTTTATAGAACAAGTTAGACAAACCATTAATGACAAGAGTGTTAAGGTTAAATATGAAGCAATGCATTCACTTCTCTGAGTGCTATCCATCTTTCCATTTACAGGAGCTTGACAAAAGTACTGGCTTTGTACAACATTTCCTTTAATTACATGCTGCGGGAAACAGGCTTTTAACATAAACATAGTTGCATTCATTTATTCAGCATTTGCTCTTCAGTAGAGCTTAATGGAGAAGGTTTAAATCCTAAATAAGTACACATATCTCTCAGCAGTGTTATGTCAGTCCCCGTGCTCTGCTTAAAAGCGGTTTTAGTCTATGTATGTAGTTTGTAAAGCTTTTGCCTAATAGTTAAACAATTTAAAACAGAATGTTCTACTCTCAGGATAAATCTGATTGTTATAAAAGTTGTATGTTTATTTTTGTTCTCTTCAAAAATACCCAATTATTTACTCATCAGCTGTTCCATTTTTACTTTCATATTTCTTATTCTGTGACAGCAGCGCATTCCAGGGCATTAAAATGCTGGATTTATTGTTCTAATTGCTCTTATTAAGCATCTTGGTGCTACTATTTTCTCTGGGTTATAATTGTATGTGAAGCCCTAAAACATTGGCCTTTTGAGACTTTTTCATTGTTAGTTTTGCTTCAGATGTGTCATATTTCTGCCTGAAGTACTGTGCTCCTTTGTTTGTCTGCATTTTCAGCTTCTGAACATACTGTAAAAAGGCACACACAGTGTTAAGTTGTAGTTACTGTTGTGTTTTAGTCAACATGAGCATCCAACAAATCATTCTTCCAAACAATGGATATTGATAGAAAGGTGTGAGTTTTGTTAAAATGTCTTTGAATGGCATCTCTTTCGTTACTTTTTCTTCATCATATATTTGGATGTAATCTTTACATTTCTCTTCCATTTTGTAGTGATATTCAAATAATTTTACTCAAATAGTTTATGTTGATATTTTAGAGAGCTGGTTACTAACTGAATTTACCAGTTTCTAATGTGCTTTCTCTTAAATAACTAAATTGAACCAATTACTATCTGAATTTAAAGATATATGGAATTTTGCATATGGAATTATAATTAAATGTATGACTGATAGATTATAAAGGATCTTTGTATATGGTCTTCCTTACTTTCCAAATCAGTCTTACTTAATATTTAATTTCTGCATTTGCATTCTCTTTTAAATTAAGCTCTTTATGAGAAAAGAACTACCTTAGTTTCACAGTTGCATTAGTATCACACGTCATTGTTCAGGTATTACTAATTTGTTTCTGATAATAGGTCATTGCAGGTAAGACATTAAACTAAGGTAATGATGTGAGTTCTTATAAAATTGTTTTCTCAGTAAATGCTTTTAACTTTTAATGCAATTAATTAATTAATGCAATTTTTTTGTTTAGATGTCTACTATTTTGATATAATGCTTAATAAGCAGGCAAATCTTAGTGTATTCATAATGAAATATTTAATGTTTCAGGAATGCTGACAGGAATGAATGAGACATCTGCTACAATAGCTGTTGCTCCACAGAATTCTGCTAGACTTGTAATTATTGAGAGAGTAGTGAAAGCAGCAAACCTGGGTGTAGTCCCTTCTGGTCAAGACAACATACACAGGTAAGATTATATGTTATTCAAAGTATGACCATCTTTTAATATTACTTTGTTAGTTCAAACTTCTTCAACATTTTATAATATCAGGGAAAATTTTATTACCCATACCTTTAAGGGAGAAGGTACCAAATTATACTGTAGTATGTAATATTGAGCAGATAGTGACTTATCCAAATACTCTGCAGCTCATTATTTGAGTGTCTATAGAACTGTCTAGATTTTATACAGTTAGAGGGAATTGTCTATCCCTTGCTTGTTTCAAAGGGAGGAGCTAGTCTTTTAGAGCACAGTACTTTCAAGAAGGTTTTTGGGGATTTTTTTACCTTTTGCTTCTGTTTCCCATACTAAGTAACCTGCTCCAGTTTTATCATCTGTGAGGAGCAACTTGTTTTCCTACTTTCTTTTTTTACATTCCTCTATGTATATATCTGCAAGCAAAAACAATTATCAGCCAAGAAAGTCATTGGCCCTGTCAAATTTCCAGTTTTCACTTGTAGATTAATCCATTTCATCTAAATGCTATGATACAGAATGTCAGTGAAATTGATGCAGTTGTTGGTTAATGACAGCTTTTAATGTGATGGACTCAAAATATTTAATCCTGTGAATCTGTATGGCTACTCACTTGTGGCAGGAACAAACAGGTTAACCTGGTCTTGAAATAAGAAAATGAATACATCTCTCTTACCAGCTACTAAAACTGTTCACTAAATTTTGAATTATCTTTAATCCCCTGAATTGTGCTATTCAATAAGAGCAAAGTACCTTTTTTTAAAGAGAAGGAGAGTGCTTTTCTTTGAAATTTTGTGGACTGAGATGGCTTTTTGAAAGGGTGAGAATGCTGTAGCCTACAAAAGATTAATAACCTGGTATTGTTCGATGTAGTCTCTTTTGCATTGCTAGGCATTTGTATTGCACTGCATTAACATTAACCCAGCTGGATTTTTCTATGTATTTGATACGGTTAATGATAAAATTCTGTTTCACCATAAAAACATGGCACAGCTAGTGCAATTGCACTGAAATGATTGTCACTGTTGACACCTGATCCTCCATGAAAGAGTCCTCATTTGTTGCATCCCTGAGGGATCTGTATAGTCTGTGTTCTCAACATCAATTCAAAGACTAGGTGAGAGTGTCAATCAAGAGAGACTGAAGTGTCTGCAGTCTACAGGTGCTCTCCGTCTTTACCCTATCTATCATATGAGACTTATCACATAGGCATGGATTGTTTTGTTGACTGAGTCTCAAAAAGGCTCCCTAAAATAATAGCATAGCTCCTACCTCAGCCACAGGTTTTCCAGTTGTAGATAAGTTTTCTAGTTTGATGTTGTTTTCTTTTGCTCTTTTTGTTTCATTTAAAAGAAGCTTTCCACGACAGAGTCTATAACCAAGAGTAAAGAAATTGAAGATACTCTTACTGTTGGGTACACTCCTTCAGAGACAGTGCTTACAGCCACGTTCAGGTCAAGCTGAAGTATTCAGACTGCTTCAGAGCATCCTGAAGTCTTCTTTCATTTTTTAGATTCAAAATACAATGTTTTCAATTTCAGTCTGCCGCAATAGTTACAGAATAGACTATAGAATAATCCATCAAGCAAAACAAGTAGTTTTTAACAATTTAAGTGGCCTATGAGAAATGCCCAGCAGTTGATAAGAATTAAGAAAACAGTCCTTCATTTGCTTCACCATAAATAAGTGGAGTTCAGAGATATTATGTAGTCATAATTCCACCTAGATTTTATTGAACAGGAACATTACCTAGTTGATACTGTGATGAACCTGTTCATCTTTTAAACAGTAATGCTTTATTGTTAAAGTAAATCCTAGATTCACATGAATGCATATTTGAGATAGATATTAGATAATTAATCCTTTCAAAATGCTGAAAAAAATGACTGAAATAGTTTATATATATATATGTATCTAAAGCAAACATATGATTAGATTAAATGAACTCTGTGATGAGAGGAAACAGAAATTAAATCTCTTCTGGCAGAAATCTCATGGGTACAAGAATTGTGACTTTTATTTCTGGATATTTCAGGAATTGTGACACAATTTCAGGATAATAAAATAAAACCTTTTATCATGTCTAAACAGTTACAGATTCAATAAAAATATGTTAAAAGTGAATTTTAACTTTTAATTTTTAATAGGATTGTAATTTGTCTTGTTTTATTGCAAGTGATATTGGAGAAAAAAATTACATCCAAAAACTTTTAGCTCATCATGCTGTTCTGTGAGGACTACTTCAGCTGACTTCTTGGAAGAGCCTAGAACATACCTTTTTACACAGAAACAGAAGTACTGTTTTTTAGCTGATGTTCTGCACTGTGCAGCATAAATTACATTAACCTATTAGTTGGTCATCCCCAACTTGAGTATTACTACTTAATGATGACTAATGCTAAAAAAATTGCATTGCCTGGTAATGCAATATACTCATTCAAAAGAAACGGTACAGTTTAATACAAGTGCAAGAGTATCTAATGGACATGAACAGGTGTTTCATGGTTTCTTTCCGTCTAAACATATTCACATTCATGCTGAAGATGTTGTCATGCTGGTGGAATCCAATTACTGGTCCTTAAATTAATAACCCTATTAGGATTTTATTTTTGCACCAAGTAAAAACACTTAGAGCAAATATATTGAAGATTTGAAAGTAAATACTTGAAATAAATTTCAACAGAGTAGCATATAGTCACCAAAGAAAAAGGAAATAAGTGAAAACAAATGTCAAATACATCAGCTATAAATCTGAGCATATCACAACATAGCAACACTTTCTTACATGCATTTCTTTTCTCTCTTTACCATGTGGCTACTGAATTTGTGTGCTTAGTTAAAATGTAATAATTTAACTGGTAAATGAACAATATGCCAGGTGACACAGTTGATGCTGCTTTAAACTGATTTTTCTGACATGGTTTTATTTGAAGTGGTAACTGCAAAAGGTAGCATAGACATAGACATCAGCACACAAAGTTTCAGGTTCATATTTATGTATTTGAAAATTAAATTTTCTGTACTGTTTTACTTCCTTTAGAATAGTTACCTTATCTTCAATGGACTCTATTCAAGGGCTTAGATTACAGGGGCTTGTAAGACAGCATGCAACGTATTTGCGTGTTCTTAATAGGATTTAGCTATTTTATGTATTGATCTTTCTTGCTTTTGCTAATAAGTGGAAACATTTCAATTTTTAAAGGTTTCTACTAGAAGAAAGAATGTGAAATGCATTTCAAAAGAGAGGTTTTCTTGAATGGGAAATGTGTTTTCTTAAATATGAAAACCTCAGAAAAAAGAGTCCTTTCTTTTCTTAAAATATTTTTTCACAAGACTGATGAGAGTAATTGTTGGAATATCCATAACACTTCTAATGTTCTAATAACCATTACTTGATGTTGATAAAGTGATTTCAAAGAATCAGCTAAGGCACCAAGCTTCTGTCTTTTGGTTCAGACCTCAAACCTGAGGGCACCATTTGAATATCTGGAGACAAAGACACTAAAAGAAAAGTATTTGTTCCTGCAAGGAATTAAATCACTCTGAATAACTACCTTTAGGGAACAAGTACTTTTCAGTTGAAGTATGTCTGCTGTTTGATTAGTGGGGAAAGCCTATTAGGAATTTTTCTGTCTTCAAGATAAGAGAATACATAGTGGAGGACATTTATTCCCTCAAAGTTGATTGTTCTATAGAACACCACTTGAGCTCCTGGTCTTTACTTGGGCAGTAGCATTCATTGCTTTAAATACAACAAAAACAACAAAAAAGTAATCCAGACTGTTCTATTTCAAAATATGATGAGATTAAACATTATTCAGTTTAAGATTTTCAGTCATACTCTATTTAACTAACACAAGCCTTATTTACCCAGAAACACCCTTCATGCTAGTGTTACTTTCAACATGTGTTGCTTATTCTTCTCAGATGAATATCCTGTAAGTTCCTCAGGTTTCTTCTACTTTTATTCATTTTCATTTCCTACAATTATAGGTAGTCATCATCTGCTTCACTTTGAATATAGCAAAAGATAATAGATGGTGATAGAATGAAAAGGCGAGTTGCAGACTTGACTCTTACAAGGACTTGAATGCTCTTATAATCCTCTAGAAAGTGCCAAAATATTGTCTACTGTTACATAAGGTCCTATGCATAAAGGAGAGGTGTTTCAGGCTAAATTGGCTTAGGAAAAAAAGTAATAGAAATGCACATAGAAGGCATTTTTTCATGCTACCAACAAAAATATGGTGCAAAGCTTTTAAAGTGTTGGCAGCAGCATATGGGAGAAAAATCTGTTCTGAGCTAAGATCACAAACTAGATTTACTTCTTCACTCTCATTTTATACTTGTGTGCTTCTATTGATGTCAGGGTATAACGTGCAATGGGATGAAGAATCAGGCCGTCTTCAACTACCTACCTCTCTACCTTCTACTTCCCAAAGTATTTCTTAAATGGGATGCGTTGTACTACAGAATATTATTGACGTCAATGACTGTGGCTCTAAAAATGGTGCAATACAGATAATCTTTTCCACTTTTTTTATTCTTAAAGACTACCTGTACATTGCCCAATCAGTCAGTGAGATAAAACTCTGAAGCCAGCAGGGTGGATAATGAAGAATGAAGTTTAGTCAACCTCAACTTATTTAATAGTCCATTGCACTAGTCTATTGCTGCTGTTGTATTCTGGAAGGAATCCTCAATTGCAAACAGGAAGTAGTAGGATTAGAAAGTGAGCATGGTGTCATATATATATATATCTCTGTTCTGCCATTCCTCAGAATGGCTGTAACCATTGACCTGCACTCTGAGACACGTGACAGAATTAATTTCAGTCCTCGAATTTCACATGGTCAATTCTATAATTTCAAGAACCCAAGATGCGACAATCTGAGGTTTTGGAGAAAATCAAATCTCTCAACAATGAAGCTCTAAAGTGCTTCAGAACAGCCATTTCACGTTTTCAAATAGGGATTTTAATGTCTTTCTCT